CCGTAGCTGGATAGCGTTATAGAAATGAGAAATTTTGTAGAAACTTTAGGATGGCATATGCAATTGACGCGGCCCATTTTCTTCAAAAGAACAGAGCAATTCAAATCCACGCGTTAACCAAAATCAAACAACACCATTCTTAGTTTTCCGACACGCCGAAAACGATGGTTGCTATGCCGATTTACGAAATTTCCAAATAAGTCAGAAAACTGAAAAAATTAGGGGGTGGCATATACAATTGACGCGCACTAAATATCTCCACCCCACTGATCCCCTCTACCCATATTTCCAATGTGCTAACTTTTTATTGTAAAATCTGCCTTAAGCATGTAACTTTGAACCATGACAACGTTTTGCCCTCATCTGCTTTTCTCGTTCAAAAACCCCCACCACTACTATTATCACACACCCTCTAACTTCAGCCACACGAAGAATGGCTGTCCACCTAAGCCCTCTCTTCTGGACTTACCATTAGTCGTATTTTTCCCTTCAAATAAATACATGCTAAAGCTGAGCCTCTCAAGCAAGCCTCTGTCGTTCTGCGCTGTATCCATTCGCGGCAGAAAGAATGAGAAGAACAGAGACGCAGAGAATCAAAATCCCGCAAAAAAAAACAAAATAAAGCATCAATGTAATGAACAATTTCAGAAATAGGAGCGGATGACGACGCACTTTCAAAGTGCAAAGTGAAAAAAAAGTGAAAAGCTTTATTGAGCTTGGGCGATTCCAGATGGCACCGTAAAGACGTTACCAGTTTGAGAAATAGAATGAATAATTGCTGACTAGGCAGAATCTGGCGTGATGTTGTGCAGCTCGAGAATCTCGCGAAACTCGGCCTGATCTTCGGCTCGAATCAACAAGTGCAGCCCTGAAGATAAACAGCTGTCAGATGGCTTTGTCCTGATAAACACAACAACCAAACACCACCTAAACATGAGAGTGCCTTGAACAACAAGTTATTTGCAATGTAAAAACCTAAGAAAGAAACTCTCGACGTTATCACAGATTTTTGAGGATGCGCCACGTACCCTATTTCTGCTCAGATTCATTGTGGCATTTTGAATGCGATATGGCCTATACAAAGACTTGCGGGACAGCCAATTTGCAAGTCAGTGGTTTAATCCTCCAGACGAGTGTGCTGCTAATCCATCAAAGCAGAAAGTTTGGTTGCACTGGACGGAGGGCGATCCAGGATTTAACCCTTTGACGACAATGCGGATTTGCACGTAGCGTGCTCGTGGGACCACGCCTCTTTTTGGCGCGCCCAACTCTCGCACAAAATGGGGCAAAATTGTCCCTAAAAGCAGTTTTTCTATCAAAATTTTGACTATGACAATAAACAAAATATGACTGCAGTCTTAAGCTTTATGATCATGTATTGTTGGAATTAGAAGTGGAAGTTTGGAAAGAAATCTCGGATTTCAAAGGGATGGTGTTTGAAAACTCTAGAAATTCAATGTACAGTAGAATTTTTGATATAGTTCAAACTCCTCCTTGTGTCTTAAGACTGTGAAAAGACGTAGAGGTCCTGATCTGTAATTCACCTTAAGCTTAATAATGTAAAACACTAGTTAATACATCGCCGAGCGAAGTGCCATATCCTAAAATTTCATATAAATTAGCTAGTAACAAACATTTCTGCAAAATATGCTAAACATAGGCGTAACGGAGCTTGCTTATAATTACTGATATGTTGAAAATGTTTTAAATGGGTAAAGAAAGAAAATTTCAGGGTGGCACCCACCAGGGGATTGTGGAGATCAGGAGAGCAGCGTCATGGAATGATAAGAAGGTCACACGCTAGTGATCGCGAAGGAAGTTTCCCGCCGGAGGTCAAGAGGACCAGAAGTTCCCTATAAAAGGCAGATGCATCTTCAGAAGTCGTCTTCCTCTGGTCTCCGGCGGTGCGGGCATCGGGCCCGCCAGAAGTCTTCTTCAGGAACCTCCACCTCCCCAACGACTACTCCAGCAGCCGCCGTTCGCCCTATTCAAGGACCCCCTCAACTGGACGACTTCTACTCGTCTACCCCCTTTATTCTCACACCATTCTGTTCATTTCTGTTCAGTTATTGTTTTGTTTCTAATAAACTCTGTTTTCTCGGTGTTCGCTTCAGACACACGTGGAGATAATCGGGTCTCATACACTACATGGGGGCCAAGCCATTCCACACAAACGTCTGAAGTGAACGCTGCTCTCATCTCTATCTCGTCGTACATTCGCCGAATAGTGAGAAAGGCGCATTGACCGTGAATCCGCCGAATAGTGAGAAAGGCGTGTGATTCGTGAACAAAGCGGTTCAACAGAGGAAAAAATGGATGATTGCAGAAATACAGCTGAAGCTGTTGTGCGAGGCCTAGAGATAGCCAGACAGATGGATCAGGACAAGGAAAACACCCAAGGCTCCGAGGTGAGTTGCAATGGGAAGGAATTAGTGACCCTATTAAGGGGTGAGATCAAAAAAGCCATTCGAGTCGATAAGGGGCCTAGGTCCAAAGATCAAAGACGAATAGCCCCGAAATATAGATCAGTCATAGATAAGTCAATAGAACAGCGCAGGTCAAGAAAGCGTGTGAGACGCTGGGGACGCTAGAAAGTAGCGCGCAAAATCTTACCTCACTTTTGGCAAAGAGCTAATGGAGTTCTTGCAAAAGAGGGGAATCGAAACATTTGGAGGACTGGGACGACTTTTTGGAGGGTCGTTGACAGAGATGGGAATTTACTAGCAGAGATCTGCAGTATGCTAGACACAAATGTGTTACAGGTGCGAGATGTGGTCGGAGAGATCCAGAAGCTCCAAGAAAAACAAGCAAAGGATATGATGAGAAATCAAGACGAATTGTCTGATGAAGATATGGACGGTATGGAGATTAATCATAAAAGACGAAAAGCGAATGAATTGCCAAACAATGATGAAAACCGACGATTGCAGATGACGACACAAGTGTCCGAGCGGAATCACGAAACAGCGCCGACTGGAGCAGCCTACGGGCAGCACTTGAGACCGCATTTGGATCTCGCTGGGAGACAGCGGCAGAGCAAACCGCAACAGGTGGGACTTACATGGAGAATTCTCTCAAATTTTTACAAGCAAGTGTTCGATAAGATTTGACGCACTGGATTGTTTCCCCGGGGGAACCGAAACGAAATTTCAAAGAATTCCTACGAAGGTTCCGAAGGAAATATGGACCGTTAGGATACGGTGATAGGACATTATTAGAAATTCTGGAAGACGACCACTTGGGCGAAAAGGCCAAAAATGTATTCTTGGCAATCCCACAAGAGAAGTTAGAGGAAGGGTTCGAAGCGGTAGTAAGAGAATTGGAAAGGCTTCTTTCGAGCGACTCTCGTGCGGTAGTATGAAGATCTAAATGGCTAAAAGAGCTTGAAATTATAGACGCCCAATCATCATCTCTGATTTCTGCGTAATTTCGTAATTTTCGTAACTCGTAATCTACTGCTCGAGCGCTTAGAAAAGTCGCGAAGGAGCTAACCTGAGAGTAGCTTTGAGAGAAATGTCTGAGTATTGCACACGATTCTGCTGGATAACGATGAGAGAATGTTCCGAACCAGGGTCAAGCGAGGCGTCGAGGAAAATTCGGAAATACGACCCCCCTCCCTCTGCCGAAGGCCGAAGTCCATGAAACAACCCTCTTTAAAAGCCGAACTATGAAAAAGTTGTTTAATTCTCCACCAAAACTGCTCATAAAAAAGCCCTGCTACCCCATCGTCCACAAAAAAAACTCGTTTAAAAGTATAAAAGTGAAAAAGTCAAAATGATCATTAATGGAAAACGAGAAACGGAGCAAAAAACGTCAAACTAGTCACTAGAAATGGCGTACTATGACAACACCTCTTCTTTAGTTTATTTCCTCCACAAGACTTACCAAATTCTAGTACTACACAGATTATGGTTCTCAATTTACACGTCCCCCTTTCGCTCAAAGGAAGCCTTGTAAAAGCCTTCGCCAGCTGTGTGTTGACTGGACTTTGGCGTTGACCGTGGAGCAGCTTATTTACTATTGAAATTTGAACAAATATTCAAATGATTATAACTTTCTTCAAAGTTAACGAATTTTCAATCTGAAAGCTGATTTGGGAGTTTTGTGAAGAGCTTTTTCTAATCAGTACTGAAATTACAGGAAGTTATAAGAAATAACAAATTTAGATCAAATAACGAGGAAAATTCGAGACGAGCAATCGATATATTTTATCAACGTTTCGTGCAGCAATAAAGTGCTTTTTTAGCTATTAAACACCAGTCCAATATCAGAAAGAGAATTACGATGATACGTCATACAAAACTAGAAGATTTTCTCTATCAAACGGTCGCTAAAGCAGCTTCATACGTCCAGTACTCAAAAAATGGCCACGTTGAGGATTTTTGCAAAATTAACGAGGAAAATTCGTGATGAGTGCGAGTTTTTACGCTTTCCAAAGCCATAACTCCGTTCAAACTCATGCAATCTGGAAAGTTAATACGTCATCATAAACTAGAAGATTTGCTCTTTCTATAGGCAACTAAAACTGCTAAATACGTTCACTATTTAAAAAATGGCCACGTTGAGGATTTTTGCCCGAGTACCGCCGAAAGGTACTTTTTCGCTACATTAGCACTATCCCAACGACTATAGCTCCTTGCAGGAGCGATTACATACTGAAGTAGGAGCAGATTCAAAATCCTCGTGCTTTTCTCTCTGCAAAAAGTGTAAAATTGTTTAGCGGGTCTCAACTTTAAAGGTTACATGCTTGTGAATTTGACGCTGAAGGCTGCGTTTCTTGTTGAATAGTGTACTCCTCTCTGTAATTTAACATGAACTCTTTCAGAACCCTCTTGATTCTTCCTGAATTAAGATTCGTTATCAAGATAGCCGTAGCTGAAGCGCGCGCAACCAACTGGGCCCACTCTGGGATGCGCCGTGTGCTTCACATCTCGTTGGATTTGAGGACCTACTTGAAAGATAAAATATCCCTAGAAAACGTGCGAATTTCGGATCCTTTGACTTGTGTGGTGATGAAACACTAAAGTCACTAAGAATTGCTAAGCGGACACCTCTAAATCACGAAGATTTTGTGTGGACGGAATCAATTGTTATTGGAAATACTCTGGCCTGGTATCGATTCGATCCTTAATGTTTGTCCTCCGACGATGATCCTACTGTATTCAATAGGGCCCGATGTCTCCCCAGCGGGCCAATACGACCCCCCCTCCTCTGTGACATGTCGAGGATTCCTCAACGCACGCTTGACCCTGGTTCAGGAACACGTCCAGTATTGAGTTTGCTCCATAGATCAGACCCTGAGAGCGCATACAGTGAGATCAAGCAACTGGCTATAACTATAGAGCAGGCAAGGACAGTATACGGAACGGTGCCAAAGAGTGCGTCAGCAGAGGCCGAATGGAAAGCAAGGGCACAGGCATATAAAAGCCAAAGGGATAGTGAGCGGTTGAGATCAAACCCGGAAGAGCGCCATTTAGTTCACGAGGACGGACAGAAACAAGACGTCGAGACTCGGAAGTGTTTCATCTGTTTGAAAGTAGGTCATATTGCCCGAAACTGTCCGCTGGGAAGAGCCACAGTCAATAGTATCCGAGAGAAGCGAACAAAAACAAAGGAAAATATGGAAGAAACACGAGTATCCGATCTGGTGCGACAAGCCCGATCGATGGGAATGGTAGTAGAAAAGTGTTCTGCTACAAGTAACCTAGTCGGACGGAAGTTGACAGCATGGGTAAGTGCGCTGAATGAAAGAGTTCCTGCGCTGATCGACACAGGATCGATGGTGAGCATCGTGTCAATAGGACTCTTGGCTAAAGCGCAGGATAATGGATTTGACGTTGATTCGCTAAGGGTAATTGATCGGGAAGCGCTCAATCCCGTTTTCGATGCCTCCGGCAGCCGAATGCAATTCTTAGGTGGAGTTGTCATAGTGGTAAAAATTGACGGAGGGACAGAATCTGAAATTGCCTTCTACATTTCGAAAGAGAAAGGACAGAAAATACTACTTGGAACGAATGCACTGCAAAAATTAGGGGTTCAGATCAAGTTGCCAATACCAGTCCCGGTTGCCACACGAAGGACAAGTGACACTGGCAGAGTTACCATAGCAAGGCGGAAGTACGTAGCGCCGCTCACCTCGTCCCTACTACAAACACGGTGTGAAGGGGAAGAGGACTCTGTAGAGCGTGGTAGATGAAGTAGCTGCAGAAGTGCCTAGGATAGAAAATAGTGATTGTGCCGGTACGGTAGTCAGGGAGAGATGCGAGTCAATAATAGGGAGAAAAGGCAAGAAAAGTGGGCAACGGAGTACTGAGAAATGGAAAGAAAGAAGGAAGAAAAGAGTAACGGTGGGAGAAAGAGATCCCAAACCAGGACAAAGGGCTAGAAAACAGAAAAAGGACGTACGGATTTCTTATAATAAGTACTCCAACCAAATTCCTAAGGACACTCGTAAAGAAACTCAAGACGGAGTGTTTGAGTGCAGTGATCAGGCAAGGGAAGACCTGCAAATCGCGCGTGACAAAAGGAAAAAAGTAAATCGGAAGAGCCTCCCAAAGTTGAGGGATAGAGTGAATTTGTTCTCAAATAGAGAAAAAACGTTAAGTTCACATACCAACTTAACAGGCGGATGGGCTGGACCCTGTCGTGGGACTGAGGCGGGGGATAACTCAGAAGTTATTACCCGAATAGGAGAAAACTCAGAAGCTATTAAAGTTCAGTACGATATGCCAAGAATAGAGCCGAAGCAAATATCTGGTGAAAGGGTTGACACGAATACTATTAGCGGAAAAAGAGACAGGAAACCAAAAGTGAAGGTGAACAAATTAAACTGTTCTAATTTCAGAGGAGCGGTGATCGAGTCAAGTGAATGCAAAGGACATTTGCAATATAAGTGCAAGGACGGATGCCTGGAAGAAGCTTGTTTCGGAGACCTGAAGGACATCGTATTTCCAGGAGCGTTTGCGAAGGAACCGCTAGGCTCACTTTGGAGGGCATGGATCGCCGCTAGCATTTTCATCAGAAGCGACATGAACACGGCCGAGAAAATAAGGGCGTGGAAGAAAGGAATGGTCTGTCTTGATGCTGAAGCCCTGAAGAGAGTTCTGAGGCTTGCATATGACCGTTGTATGGACTGGACCGAATTTCTATATGTGACAGATGGAATATCGAAACATGACAGAATTGAGGATTACTGCTTCGACAGGACCTATGATGAAGCTTTGAAAAGTTTGAAACGCGATCTGGAGGAGCAAGAGAAAAATCAGCGTGCCAAAAAGGACGGACCGACAGCGTTCACGGCGCCAGAGAATGCGCTATTGCTGGAACGGGACGGCTCGCGTCGTGGAATTATTACAAGA